ATTGAAAGCTAATACAGTTAGAACGAATATGTTAGCACCAAAAGAATGTGTGAGAATGTAAGAAGCCAGCCTCATGCAGACTCCATCATCCGAGGTGGAAATTCTTATGGGGTATTGAATGGGTAACTTAAAGCACTCCTCTTCTATGTCAGAGAACACTGGGATTTGGCCCCTTGTCAGTGAACCTATCTGTGTCTCTGTGTTCAACCTTTTAATCTCAAGTTAGAGAACAGAGCTTACTGTGGTATAATACTTATTAGAAGCATGCAAAATAAGAGTGAATATTCCCAGGATATAAAATGTACTGCTTCTTTCTTACAGAGTTTCCAATTGTCAGAAAAATTTACTCCTGTAAAATCCCACTGATGGTGTCCACAGAACATAGCGGTATGTGAATAGATGTTAATATTTTTTAAAAATTTGACATTTTCTTGTGTAAAATTTGTAAGACATTTATACGTATATAATAAAGCCTATTATTGAAACATATTTGGAAATGAATTAGGAATATCTGCCATCCCCTTATCTTGGGTTTCTAGATTGTGAGCTTTATAGAATACAATTAAACATTGATAGTCCATTCTCACAGAGCTTACTTACCATCTGGTATTCTAGAAACTCAGAGTAAATTATTTTTCCCACTAACGTGGGTGAAGTAGTTGATATGCTTGTTCACACACCAACACATACACATATATTGTTAATGAAATGTACAAAAGTGCTATTTTAATAGAGAGACTCAAAATATTACATATTCATGGGACCTGGGGACAAAATTATGTCTTGGAAATTTTCTGGAAAATCACATAAGCTCCAGAGAAGTTGATATAAAGACAGCTAAAGATCTTTCCAAAGAATGATCTTGGTTTGATAGTGGCGATTCTACCAATACAGATAGGGAGGATTCAACAAATGGACAACTCTTTAGAATCCAGATATGACACAAGTAATCCATGGGCATTCCAGTGCAAACTGCAAAGAGCTCTCTCTGTTGTTGATTACTTGCAAAAAGGTAGCATGGAAATAAATATCTTGTGCTCATGTGAAAAATTGGCCCATATTTCTGTGCATGTTAACCTGAAAGCAACAAACGAAAGAAAACAGTGATGAACGTCTAAACCACAGCTTTGTGGGGGTCGATTTGTGGATGATTCATCTTATGGTTGAGTAAAGCTCCAAAAAGATGTAATGAAGGAAACTATGAAATTGTTACAACAACTTAGCTCTCTTTCTTAATCTAGGGAAATAAGATCATTGTGACCTAAATTTACTCTGGACCTAACATTTTACTATGATTTAAGCTGTTCACTGAAATTAGCCTGTAAATGGCATAGTCAAATGTTTTCAGAAAGTTACAGGATGATAATGACTCAGGGACAAAGTGACCCAGAAAATGGATGTCATAGCCGCCCAGGTTCTGAGAGTCAATACATACTGAAACAGGACAGAGTAAAAACTCCAGGGGGAACTTTCTTCTAAGCTTGCAAATGTGGCCTTTCTCTTTCCAAAATAATGTCATACTGGAAAAATCTGAACATGTGGGGGAATATGCTGTTTCCTATCACTCTTTCTGGTGTATTTGTATTATAGAGGCCAAACATGAGTGACTTTAACATATGATACAGGCCACTAAAAGATACCAAAAAAAGAAGGAAAAAAAAACTCTTTTGATTATTAAATAACAAACAATAGCTTGTGTGTTTGAGTTCCCTCTCTGGTGGAGGAAATCCCTAACTCTGTTCCCTCTGAGATAGAGAGAAGGGGTGGAGTCTAAATTCTAACCATAGTTAAGGGAAAATTATTACCTCTGCATTCATGAGCAACCTGACAGCTTTTATGTGGTCAGACAAATGTTAAGTTAGAAGGAACTTTAAGTAAGACTTCCTCATTTTATTGATCAGTTCAATTTAGGTCAAAATATATATGTACTATAGCCAGGCACTGTGGAGATTTAGGACATTTAGAGATAAATATAATCCAGTCCTTGATCTGATGGAGTCTGAATCTAGTCAGGTAGGTAGTGATAATGTAAGAGCTGTGTGAGAGGTAGGTATCACTCAGAGTTTTTAGCTTCAAGCAACCTCAAATGACTGTGGCAGATCTAAACTGAAGAGCAACACACCAAAACTCCAGTACCAGAATTGCTGAAGACTTGCTGAAGAATCAGGTATATGGCTTATGAAGCCAGAGCAGCAGCCAAAATAATATCACTGAATAGGTTCATTGCTTCTGCTAAGGCCTAGGAACCACAATTGGCATGACCAATATCATGAGCCCTGGACCCTGGACCCCACAGCCACCACAGTCACATCCGAAACAGCATGTTGTTTGCACAGCTGCCTTGCTCACCATAGAGGGGGTTCTCTTCTGTCCCTCTTTCTTTATGTCACCAGTTCCTAATTCCTGGCCCCAGATAGCTGTGTCTGATTGCCATTCTAACTGCTTTGCCTCTTCCTGATCTACAAGGGCAGCTGGGTTAGTGAGTCACTGGAATTTCAACTTCTAGGTTGGTTGTGACCATTGCATAAGTCAGTACAAGAAACATGGTAGGGATAAGGAGGTCAGAAGAGAGTTTCTTAAGAAGTTTATCCTGAGCCAGGTGCTAAGGATGAGCTAACAGCCAACTTTACATAGCTGGTGATGTTTACACAAGCAGGCTAAGGGGCTACCAGTCCTTATGGGATAAGTAGAGGAGAACTGGGAGAACTTTCCAGGCAACAGTCACCTTCACCAGTCAGCCTTTGTATCTGATGGTCCACACAAAACTCATTGTATGAATTGGCAGGATCTAGAAAGTTCACTTTCTCCACGGTGGCTGACAGCTAGAAGACACAACAGAGCATTTGGGGACCAGGAGAATCCCGTAGAGGCAGAGGTATGAGGAACTAGCAACTGTTGAAAGAATTCCCTTCCCTGGGTGAAGGACATCAGTGGTTAAGAACTATTTAAACAGTCCAAAGAGCAGAGTTCAATCTTTAGAGCCAGTAGATTAGATAATAGGGGAAGGGATCCATAAATGCTGATAATAAAAAATCATAGATGGAGGTAGGGCCTGGTCTCCAAGACCATGAGACTGAGGATTCTAGGGAGCCCAGTCCTTGGGAAGCTGTTAGGAAAGCAAGTGCACATCAGGGATGGGAGGTGGCAAAACAGTGAGTGCTGACTTAATAGAGCTTTCATTTTGGGTACTGTTAAGGGTTGAATTGCTAGATTTAATACCTTGCCTTTCTGCAAATAAAAGCTGTGGAAGCCATACCAGACTAGACTGCAGGGGGATTCTGATCACAGTATTTATGTATGGCATTTAGAGATTTCTTTAAATGTAAATGTTTTCTGGGAGAGAGAAAGATGGCATTAGACATTAACACACACACACACACACCTCAGGTAGTATCTCAGTTATTTTATGCATTGATTGTTTATCACAAACATCTACATGTACATTAATGAGTTAATGAGGTGGAGATACAATAAGGTCTTACCTTCAAATAGGAATGTAAGACTGCATATGTACACACACATCCATGTAAACCAATGAAATGAGATATACAACGTGTTATGAGAGGAGCACAGACAATATTATGGAATTGATAAGGAAGAAGAGAACAACCCAGATTAAGACAGACTGAGGAGGGCATCTTGGCGAAGAGTGTTTTTCATTGAGCTTTGAAAAAAAGGAAATTTCTGAACATTTAAAGATGAGCAAAGATGATTTCAGAGAGGAGAAACAGCATGCAGAATGCCACCTGTAGGGTTTGGGGAAATTAAGAACCATTTGTTTTGGAAGGAATATAATTACATAAATGAAAGCTAGGCTCTAGTAGAGAGTTGAGGAACCTGTGACAAAAAGAAACAGAGCAGCTCAGTATGGATTGTGGGATGACTCAAGGGGAAACTTCAAAGGGAATCTGGGTGGATTCGGTGATTTGGGTGGCATGAAGCCCCGGGACGCATTAAGGAGGAAGGGGCAGTTAGAACGGTAGGAGAGAAAGTGCAGAAAAGGGAAAGGAAACTTTTCCTTTGTCACCATTCTGCCATCTCCTTACTTTAGATGAATTCTTCTATTATGTTTCTGAACCCAGACCAAGTCAGGGCTTGCCTCTATTCGTTTTTCTGGAATGTGTCTAACAGGAAATAATAGACGAGAGAGAGAGAGAGAGAGAGAGAGAGAGAGAGAGAGAGGGAGAGAGAGAGAGAGAGAGAGAGATGCTGTATGAACAAATTGAGAAGCGTATTTCTTTTTAACATTCTGTTGCTGATGTTGCAAAAAAGTGAAGCAATTATTGCACATTTCATTTTACTAAGTTTTACTTTTTATCCCCTTTCCCCTAATTTTCTCTTTCTTGAATTTTGAACAAAATAATACTGAAATATACAGAAGGAAAACACAAAACACAGAAATGGTAAGTAAAATGGAAGAAAATATCAAGAAAACTTTATTCTTGCTTACATTTTAAAATGCTCTTTTAAAAATCCAGAGCATTTTAGAAGATGAAATGTCAAACAGTCCCCATTGTGTCGATAGCATCTTTGAGTGACAATCACAGTGCTGATGTAGGGGGAACGAGTGAGACACCATCACTCACCCAGGAAGCCTTCATTCACCTGTTTCACAGGGCAGTGAGGTGCCTTCAGCTCTGAATCATCGAAAGAGAATCCGGTGGGGCAGGTTCTGACTGCAAGAGGATTTGTTTGCATAAAGATTTTTTAGTTATTGCCAACAATGAGGCTTATTCCCTGACAAACATTAAACCAGTTTTATTTCCTTTCATAGAGATCGAATTACATTTACAGCTTGTTCTTAGATATACCCACCTGATTTTTTAAATTGCTTTTCCACTCGCTTCTCCTTTCTTCTTAGGGTGAAACTCTAGCGAAACACCCTCTTCTGGTTTCAGGTGAGGAGCCTGAATTGTGGGTATCGTAGTTCTCTTGCCTTTCAGGGTTTCTGGTTTGGCTGTCTTGGAGCCACACTGGTAGAACTTCAAGTCTCAGGTGGCTCAGGAAGCAGAGGTGCAGGTGCCTGCCTGCCTATGGAGCAAGGCATGGTTGAAGAGTACCTGATTTTGGTAGAGTGACTTTTATTCACTAAAACCATGTGTCTGAACTGAAGAAGCTGGGGATCATTTCCACAAATGTAAGTGTTGCTTTTAAACAAATAATATTCCTTTCACTATTGATATGTGGTACTCACTAGGAAGTTATATAATTTCCAGATAAATTTAACAAACCAACTGCTTAACAAATCAAGCCTGCTCAAATAAAGGGAAGGTAAGTGGTATTCTGTGGGCTTATGGGACATGTGTTAGAATAAGCCTCAAGACAGAATAGAATACCTTGAGACATGGTTTAGAATAAAGTAGTTTATTTTGAAAAAGGAAGAACCCATGTGACATTAACCATCAAAGGTAAAAACAAAAGATTCTGAGTTATTTCAAATATGTAGATGGTTGAAATACCCTGAAAAATTTAAATATTTCAAAAAGCATACAGATGTGCTAAAAAGACTGTGTTATGAAGTTAGATAAAGTTGCAATCAGAGCCCCACTGTGGCCATTGACAAGATGTTTCACCTTGCAAAGTCTCAGTTTCCTCATCTGTAAAGTGTGCATAACCTATCTCATTAGGTCAATAGCATGAAATTAGCACAGTGAATTATTGTACTGAATAGGTAGTTAGACAATAAATGATGGAGTATAACTTGGCTTCATCCTAATTAAGTTTCAATTAAGCTTGGAAAACATCAAAGAAACAGACAAATACTGGATGATTCAACTTACATGAGGTATTTAGAGTAGTGAAATTCACAGACATGAAAAGTAGAATAAAGTAGAATGGTAGTTGCCAGGGTGCTAGGGAAGGGAGAAATGAAAGTTGTTTAATGGATACAGAGTTTCAGTTTACAAGATGAAAACATTTGGAGATTGTACAACAATTTAAATACACTTAATACTATTGAACTTACAGTTTGTAAGTGTAAATACTTACAAATGGTTAGGATGGTAAATTGTTTGTTTTTTTTAAACCACAATTAATAAAAATAGATTTTAAAATCTTTATTTATTTTTAAGATCAAAAAGCATGCAGTGAACCTTTCAATGCCTTCTATTTATTAAAGGTCTTCCAAATTCCCTAAACATGTCTTGAGTCTATATTCAGTGGGTCTAATTTAGGATTGATATTGACTTACCTATGTTAGTGTCTGTTTTTTACATAGCAATTAGTAGGTGACAACATTGCATTTCAGGTATATTCTTAAAGTTGTCTTGACCTCAGTAGTGATTCTTTTATGCCCCCCTTAACTTAATTACAGTACTGTCTTTTATTTATAATAGTGATTTTTAATATGATTTCATGGGTAGTGTTCAGAATCAAGAAATTATGAAGTCATAATTATTAGTTACAATTTGCTTGAAAGATTGTTATGACTCATTTTTAAAACTTGAAGCAAATGTATTCCAGTTTTCTCACCTTCCTTGTAGCTAATTTATAAATAAAATATTTTTATCTGTTTGTGTTTTAGAGATAATTAAAACTACCAAGGCAAAGTTTGTTAAACACCATCTTATCTTAAAATTTATTCACTGATTTGGAGGACAAAAGACATTTTGGAATTATACTGATTTTGAACTTGAAGACATGTCTGTTGAAGTTTTAGAGAATTATTTCTTGAAAGACCAAAGATATGCCTACGGGTCTATTAAGACTAAACATCCTTTGTAGTATTTGGTGATAACAGAAGGTGATAACAACTGACATTTAAGTTGAGTGTGCAGAGTTTTATATGTGATGTGCCCTATATTAATAAATGTAAACACTATGTCAACAAGTCCAGGGTAGCGTTAGAATGAAACTTGCGGTTCTCCAAAGGTGGAGGAAAGCTGCAGAGGCACTGAACACAGTATACTTCTAAAAGGGTGGCTCTGTTTTGGTTGTCAAATGTGCCTACGGTACAGTGTCTCTAGGAACTGTCATTTATTCATTTGATAAAGATTTCTAGCAGTTCTGCAATATACTCCCACTGGGCTGGGTCTAGAGGTTAGAAGAAACTCACTCGCAGCTCTCGAGGGGATCCTACTCTACTAGCAGAGATATGTCCTCATAAACAGTTAAAGAGAGGAAGTGCTGATTCATCAGTCATTCATGCTGTTCATAGAGTCACTCCGCAGAAGGTGTGATGCCCAGTATCAGAGGATTAAAAGATACCTCCATAAACCTTTCTTTGAACTATAACCACTGGAGACCAGAAAAATAATAAACTTGAGAACTTGTATACAAGACACTCAAAAGCAGAGTGGAGTGGCTTCCTAAAACACAGAAGAGAGGCGTACCCAGGCTGCCAGAGGAAGGGGCAGTCACAGTGCCCTGAATTTCAAGAGGACATTGTGGGAGGTGGTGGAACTTTAGGCAGGCCTGAAAAAATGTGCAGACTTGAGATCGGTAGGAAGAGGTAATGAAAGTATCTCATGTACAGCGATGTTTTCTAAACTTTGTGCACATTAAATAATTTTAGGGAAAATGTGGATTGATCAATAATGTTAAGATGACAAATTGAGAAAGTTGTATTTTTTGACTTACTTTCAACTCTTCAGAAATAAGTTTTGTTGTTTTTGATGTGACTTAAAATTCTTTGAACACTTGTTTAAGCTTCCTTTATGACCCTATGGCCCTCACAAAATAAGCAATAAATGTTAGCAGTCAAAAAGTACTTGGTTTAATTTAATTAGTCCAATTACTCCCTTAAAATAACATTTGTATATAGTTATTGCCTATTTATTAATATAGATATCAGTTTTTTTATGGTACTAATAAAAATTAACCTTTTAAATAGTTATCTTACCAAAATTAAGAGTGAATTTACAGAAAATGTTAAGTAAAAAGTAGTTCAGGTGGCAACTGGTAATGGAGAAATCATGATGAGGTATCAGGACGCCTGAAGTTTGGGAAACACTGAAGTCGGGGGAATATCAAGCACAAGAATTAGGAAGTGAAATTCATGGGCTGTTTTTATGTGTAGCTGGAGAGAAAAGAGGGATATTGGGTATTCTATGGAGGGTATTCTAGGGGATTTTGGGTGATAATGCTGGAATAAGATTGGTTGTGGAAGCTTTAAAGGGATTTAGTCTTCAACTGCTGGACAGCAGGAGGTTCAAAACAGTTCTGACCAAGAGCTGACTGTGGAAATCCATGCTTTTGGGGGTTTCTCCAGGGCACAGTGTGCAGATCCATTAGCGCATAGGGAACATGACACCAGGAGAGCTCCCTGGAAATAGGTTTCAATAAGCTGAACATGAATAAATGAGGAGTGGGAGGAATTAAAATGAAAAGAATCAAGGGATGAAGGAGCCATTCAATAAAAAAGAAAACTAAATAATAATAATTATAGTGAGAGCCAAGCTCTTGAGTTTTTATTTATTTTATTTTATTTTTTAACTCTTATTTTATGTACAGGGGTACATATGCAGGTTTGTTACACAGGTAAACTTATGTGATGGGGGTCTGTTGTACAGATTATTTCATCACCCAGGTATGAAGCCTAGTACCCATTAGTTATTCACCCTGATCCTTTGCCTCCTCCTACCCTCCACCCTCCAGTCAGCCCCAGTGTGTGTTGTTCCCTTCTATGTGTCCATGTGTTCTCATTTAACTCTCACTCATAAGTGACAACCTGCAGCGTTTGGTTTTCTGGTTTTGTGTTATTTTGCTAAGGATAATGGCCTCCATCTCCATCCATGTCCCTGCAAAAGACATTATCTTTTTTTTTTATGGCTATGTCATATTCCACGGTGTGTATGTATCATATTTTTTAAAAATCTAGTCCATCATTGATGGGCATTTAGATTGATTTCATGTCTTTGCCATGATAAATAGTGCTGCAATGATCATAAATGTGCATATGTCTTTATAATAGGATAATTCATATTCCTTTGGTATATACACAGCTGCTCCATGAAAGCATGACCATACAGCTTTGAGGAATCTTCCACAATGGCTGAACTAAATTACACTCTCACCAGTGGTGTATAAACATTCCTTTTTCTCTACAACTTTGCCAGCATCTGTTATTTTTTGACTTTTTAATAATAGCCATTCTGACTGGTGTTAGATGGTATCTCATGTGGTTTTGATTTTCATTTACCTAATGATCAGTGATGTTGAGCTTTTTTTCATAGGATTGTAAGCCAAATGTATGTCTTCTTTTGAATAGAGAGCTCCCAAAGAGAGGGGTGGGCATTTTCCGTGCTGTAGTTGTTCCAGCCTGCGGGCTTTGGAGATGCTGAGTAGACCAGGGTGGAAGTGGCACCCCAGCACAGCACACAGCTGCTCCACGAAAGCATGACCATACAGCTTCATAAAGTAGGTCTCCAATCTCGTTCCTTTTCACTTGGTGGAACCTGCCAACTCGGGCCTCCAACCATTCCTGCTGGTGTCCTCTGGCCTAATTCGAAAACTCCCTGGGCCAAAATTCCCAGATGGAGCAGCAGGCCCCCATCTTTGCTGTTTGGGTCATCTTGAGTTTTTAAGCTTGGTGGCTTGACAGAAGGACAGTAGCACTTCCTTCTAAAAAGAGGGAACTGGTTCCCCACAAAAGTGGGGAAATGCAGTTTTGCACCTCAGAAACTATTTGAAATTGAGAGAATGGACCTTCAAACAGAAAAGGAAACTACCTTGTTAATCATGTGGGATTGGAATTCTGGAGTGCAATCAGGGAGGGTCAGAAATGGAGGAGACAGATATGCTCTTCACTAAAATGACACCTAGCTCTGCTTTTCCTCCTACCCCACTCAAGTTTCCAGGAAAGGAGAGCTGAGGAAAGAATCTTCGGGTACTTAGGAATGGGAAGGCAGAAGAAGGGCATGCTGACTCTTTCCTCCTAGGTTTTGTTTTATCTTGGGGGCTTTCTCTTGATTACTATGGCCACCACTTTGCCCAGAGATAAGAGGCTTCTTTGTAGCGGTCTTCCTTGGAAGAAACAGAAGCATATTCATCCCCAGCCAGAAGAACAGACATCATGTTTCATTTCCAGGAATGGTAGAAGAGTTTTGTATGTTTTCTATTTCCACTGGGAAAAGCACCTAATTTAGGTGCTTCCTCAATACATGTAATACATAGTAGACGTTTAAAGGTAGATATTGCAAAGACTTATGTATTCATCTCCCAGCTTAAGAAATAAAATATTAAGGATAAGATGGTACCCTCCTTAATCCTGTTTTCTCTTTTCAGCCTCAGAGATTACCACTATCCTATCTTTGTCAATATCACTGCAGTGTATGTTTTTATTCTTTTATTTGTTTTGTAGATGCTTTTATTCTTTTCACTGCTGGATATGTGAAGATATCTATAAACAGTCTATAGTATTGTTTTGAATGTTTGAAAATTTTATAAAAACCGTAAATGGAATATAATGTGGTATAAATGCATTGTAAATCATGTATTCGATGTAGATTCTTATAGCACACCTTATTTTCATGGCTGTGTGGCATTTTGCTATTAGAAGTAGTGCTATAAAAATATTCAATTACATTCCTATTTGTGTCCAAATGTAAGAATTACTCTAGTGAATGTTTCCAAAACTGATTTGCTGAACAATTAATGGGCATGTGTATCTTCAACTTTAGGAGATATTGAGAAATTGCTTTCCAAATATTTATACCACATTATATGTCCAGCCAAAGTAAGAGTTTCTGTTTCTCTCTCTTCTCAACACAGTTGTTTATCTCAAATGTTCTAATCAAATAATCTTTCCAGATGTAACTGGGAGTCAGAGGCTTGTGGCACTTGGGAGGCTCAGATATGTTTGGAACACTCCCATTGCTAAAATATAGTGCAAAATTTGATCTGAAATCAACTTCTCTGTTTCTCAATCTATGGTAGTGACATTTCCATTTAACAGGCACTTACTTTATATTAATCATGTTAATCACAAAAATGATAACGATAATACTGATAGTAGCTATTAGTACCAATTGAGGACTTACTATGTGCCAAGCAAATTAATGATATTATTTAATTAATTTTTTGGAGGTGCAGATAATGTTATTATATCTATTTTAGAGATGAAGAAACTGATTCCCAGGAATCCTTGTGTTAATAGTTAGTAAATAGAGATTGTTAGTCTAGTCTATGCCATCTAGGACAGCTGAGACATAATAGATGGGAGAAAACTGAGAAGAGAGACATCAAATTATTAAAATCCTTAACTTTCAAAAGTTTAGAATGTAGTTACTATGTAAATAACATGAAAAGAGCATACATACACCATAACGGGAGGGAGATATAAAAAACGTGCTGTATTTGCACTAAGAAGAATTTAGTTTTGCCTAGGAAGTTTGGAAAATGATTGTAATAAGTAACAAAACTTTACTAAGCCTTGGAGACTTGACAGAGGAAATTAATAAGGCAGAAATTGGAGCAGTAACTCTTTAGAAAATACACGAAAGTGGCAAGTACAGAATATATTTGAGGAAGTTAATTTATTTAATCAGTAATTCAACAAATAATTTCTGACTATCTATTGAGAGGTTCTGAGGCTACATTCTTGGATACAGCAGTGAACAAGAAGGATGCCATCCCTTCTCATTGAGTGCTGTGCTAAGAGATGTACTTGGGGAAGTGGGGGCAAAAATATGGAAAAAAAAAGACTGAAAGGATAGGTCACATACGATTATGAAGGATTTTCAAATATCAGCCTAAAGAGTGTGCACATTATTTCCTGAAGGCAGTGAGGAATCAATGTGGGTCACGATGACATAAGCAGCATCACCCGTTCATTTATTCAATAAGCATTTATTTTACCTGTATTTTGCTTAGCACTAGGTACATACGGATAAAAGAAGTCAGTGAAAGTGATAAATACATACATAACATTTATAATACAATGTGAGAACTATACCAGAGGTTTGCACAGGACAGTGATGCCTAACCTAGGCTGCAGATGTGCAGTAAGGAGAAGGAGAGGGGAAGATATTCACAGAAGCTTTTTGGGGTAAGAAATTTGCTTGAAAAAAATCTGACAACTTGATTTAGACTTTTATAAAATAACACATTTTTTTCTGATTTCGAAAGTGGTGCATGTTCACTATAGAAAATGTAAGAATCACACTTATACTTACCAAGGATGCATACCTTTAAGGTTTGTGTGTGCATTAGTCTGTTCTCGTGCTGCTATGAAGAAATACCCAAGACTGGGTAATTTATAAAGGAAAGAAGTTTAATTGACTCACAGTTCCACTGAGGATAGGCCTCAGACTTACAATTATGGCAGAAGGCACTTCTTCACAGGGTAGCAGGAGAATGAGTGCCAGCAGGGAAACTACCAGACACTTATAAAAGCATCAGGTCTTGTGAGAAGTCACTCACTGTCACATGAACAGCATGGGGTAAACTGCCCCCATGATTCAATTACTTCTCATCAGGTTCCTCCCACAACACATGGGAATTATGAAGATTACAATTCAAGATGAGATTTGGGTGGGGACATAGCCAAAACCATATCATTCCACCCATCCCAAATCTCATGTTCTCACATTTCAAAGAACAATCATACCCTTCCAACAGTCCCTGCAAAGACTTAACTCATTCCGGCATTATCCCAAGAGTCCAAGTTCAAAGTCCCATCTGAGACAAGGCAAGTCCCTTCTCCCTAGGAGCCTGTAAATCAAAAGCAAGTGAGTTACTTCCTACATACAGTGGGAGTATGAGCATTGGGTAAATACACCCATTCCAGATGGAAGAAATTGGCCAAAACAAAGGGGCTATAGGCCCCATCCAAGTCCAAAATCCAATAGAGCAGTCATTAACCCATACAGTTCCAGAATATGCGTAAATGACTCCATGTCTCACATCTAGGTCAAGAGGTGGGCTCCCATGGTCTTGGGCAGCTTCAGTCCTGTAGTTTTGCAGGGTACAGCTCCCTTCTCAGCTGCTTTCACAGGCTGGCATTGAGTGGCTGTGACTTTTTCAGGTACATGGTACAAGCTGTCAGTAGTTCTACAATTCTGGCATCTGGAGGACAGTAGCCCTCTTCTCACAGCTCCACCAGGCAGTGCCCCAGAGTGGACTCTGTGTGGGGGCTCGAACCCCACATTTTCCTTCTGTGCTACTCCAGTAGAGGTTCTTCATGAGGACCCTACTCCTGCAGCAAACTTCTGCCTGGATATTGAGGCATTTCTATACATCCTCTGAAATCTAGGCAGAGGTTTCTCAACCTCAGTTCTTGACCTCTACACACCTGCAGGCCCAACACCCCATATAGACCACCAAGGCTTGGGGCTAGCAGTCTCTGGAGCAATGGCCTGAGCTGTACCTTGGCCCCTTTTATCTAAGATTGGAGCTGAAGCAGCTGGAACACAGGGAACCATGTCCCAAAGCTGTACAGAGCAGAGGGGCCCTTGACCCAGCTCACAGACCATTTTTCTCTCCTAGGCTTCTGGGCCTGTGATGGAAAGGGCTGACATGAATTCTCTGACATGCCCTGGATACATTTTCCCCATTGTCTTGGTGATTAACATTTGGTTCCTCATTACTTACACACATTTCCACAGCAGGCTTGAGTTTATCCCTAGAAAATAGATTTTTCTTTTTAATCACATCATCAGGCAGGAAAATTTCCAAACTTTTGTGCTCTGCTTTCTCTTGAATGTTTTGCAGCTTAGAAGTTTCTTCCACTGGATGCGCTAAATTATCTCTCTCAAGTCCAAAGTTCCACAGATTTCTAGGTCAGTGGCAAAATGCTGCCAGTCTCTTTGTTAAAGCATAGCAAGAGTGACATTTACTCCAGTTCCTTACAAGTTCCTCATCTCCATCTGAGACCACCACAGCTTCAACTTCATTATCCATATTACTATCACCATTTGGTCAAAGCCATTCAGCAAGTCTCTAAGAAGTTCCAAACTTTCTCACATCTCTTGTTTTCTGAGCCCTCCAAGTCTCTAGGAAGTTCCAAACTTCCCCACATTTTCCTGTCTTCTTCTGAGCCCTCCAAACTGTTCCAATTACTGCATGTTACCTAGTTTCAAAGTCACTTTCACATTTCAGGTATCCTTATAGCAGCACCCCACTTCTAGTACCAATTTACTGCATTAGTCCATTCTCACACTGCTATGAAGAAATATCTGAGACTGAGTAATTTATATAAGGAAGAGGTTTAATTGACTCACAGTTCTGCATGCTGGGGAGGCTTCAGGAAACTTGCAATTATGGTGGAAGACACCTCTTTACAGGGTGCCAGGAAAGAGAATGAGTATCAGGAGGGGAAATGCCAGACACGTATAAAAACATCAGATCTCATGAGAAGTCCCTCACTGTCATGAGACCAGCATGGGGGAAACTGCCCCATGATTCAATTACATCCCATGGGATCCCTCCCATGACACATGGGGATTATGGGGATTCCATTTCAAGATGAGATTTGGATGGGGACACAGCCAAACCATATCAGTGTGTATATCCTGTTAAACTTTTTATGTCAATAATAGATACTATGAATGAATAATTGATAGAAGTTATGTAATGTTTTGAGTTCACTCTTTTGATATATTACACAATTTTGATATCTTTGTGTTTTCTTCTATAACACAATTTTAAATCTTGCTCATTTGTGTGTCATATTATAATTTTAAAAATCCTTTATTGATGAAAATATCTCTTTTTTCCAATAGTTGATACTGTGAATAGCACCATGTTGCACATTATTCAAAAATCCTGGGGCACACCTGATTTCTTTGAAAGATAAATTTCTAGAGTTTGAATTACAGGTTCTAACATATAAAGTTTTGACCATATTATAGAGGAGAAGGAAAGTCCTTTTAATATATTTAAAAATAGGCTGGGTGCTGTAGCTTACACCTGTAATCCCAGCACTTTGGGAGGCAGAAGTGGGAGGATCACCTGAGGTCAGGAGTTTGAGACGATATATATATATATATATATATATATATATATATCGAAGGCTGAGGCAGAATCGCTTAAATCCAGGAGGCAGAGGTTGCAGTGAGCCAAGATTGCACCACTGCACTCCAACCTGGGTGACAGAGCAAGATTCCATCTCAAAAAAAAGTAAAATAAAATGAACAATGGATTGAATTGATGAAACTTGCATTTTAGAAAAATTATCCTGAACATAATTTGAAGGACAAACAGAAAAGATTACAGACAGTTTACCAGGTCAGATTTATTATAAAATCTAGGTGAGAAAAAAATAAAGCCTGCACAAAAGAAGTAAAATTACAAATGGAACATGGGAGAAGATTTTAAAGATACTAATTTTGTAGAAGTTCATGGACTGGCAACAGTGACTTGGGGGCAAGAGGGGGTAAAAGTGATTGTGGATTACCTCGCAGTTTCTGACATAGGAATCTAACTGGGTGGATGGTGATATCCTCATTCCATTTGACAGGAAAGACAAGAAAAACAGGTTTGGAAGGAAGAACGGATGAGCTGAGGTTGGCCGACTTTGACATGCCTGTGACCATCCATGTGGAGAAATTCCTTAAGCAATTGAACAGGTCTTGGAGTCAGGAGGGCAAATGGGTAGAGATGTGGGAGTCAGCAATCTTTCAGTGTAGCTATAATCATGGGTGTGGGTGGCTCTCCCAGGGGTATTAAGAACTGCAGCAGGAGAAGATCAGGATGCTAAGGGTGGTGCCCCTCTGATGTAATAACATTAAAGTTTAATCAGAGAAAGAAATAGCCATAGAGGAGACTGAAAAGGAGAGCAGAGAAATAGGAGAAAATCGCAATGGAGGGTAGAGTGAATGAGGACTTAAAAGGAGAACTTCTAAAGAAGGGAGATGCTAACAGTGTCACATGTCACAGCAATGCCAAATAAAAGAGAAAGATGTGCTTTGAATGTCATTGGAAGTCTTGTCTAGAGCAATTTCTGTAGAGTGGCAGGGATGGGCACTAGCATGTCATGATTGTACCTGTGATTCAGGAAGATGACTATCCTCGCCATGGGCAGAATGACTTAGGAAAGGAAGAAATCATCATGTGGGAGGCAAGTGTGGGAAGATGGGATCCGGACCCTGGGAAGGAGATAATAAAGGCCAACCCAAGGTAGGACTGTGGCATCAGAAAGAAAGGGACTGCAGTAGTTGATTTATCAAGTAGATGACAATAATGTGTGAGAAAGATGATGGAGTTCGAGAGGGCTCTGAGATTTTCATCTAAAATGACTGAGAAGATTGTGAATCTATCCCAAAAGGCAGAACTCATGAATAAAAACAGACATTTTTGTTGATGAGATAACGAGGAAGCGATATATTGCTGTGAGGTATATATGGAGGTGCCTGAGGGTAGGGGCAGTGTTCACGTGGACACAGTGTCCACATGTTTCCATCGTGAAGGTGAATGCTACAGTTCTGCAGCTCTGGGGAGGGGTCTTTGGGGACAAAGATCATTGAGCTTTCCCATACAAATTGGAATTTTAAATCATGGAAAAAGAATGACTCGAGGAGATGACTGAAAGTGAGAAGCAAACAAACAAAAAACCCTTGAGAACTGTTTAAATAAACAAGTATCACAGGAGGAGCCACCAAAGAAAACAGGGAAGAAATGAGGTCAAAGCAATAGCAGGAAAATAATAGAATATTATTTCAAATGACGTTCCTATTTTTTTTTTTTTGGTAACTATGGGAGCTATAAGAAACAGAATTTATTTTCACAGGCAGCTACAGAAAAATAGGTTGAATTATAGATAGGTGTTGAGGTGGTTTTAGGAAATCAAGATTATGACCTTATCAGACCACACTACAGGTCAAGCAGGAAGAGGACCAAGGAAACCCCTTAGGATCTGGGCTTTTTCCAACTCTTGCTTTGTCCTGGAAAATATATTTTAAGAATATCTACTGTAATACTGTGATTTACTAATATGTTATATTTGAGTTATTTTTTTCCAACGTCTATGTTCTTTTGGTATGAAATTAAACACTGAACTTTTAATTCTATACAACAGGTTTGACTTATTTTCCTCCAGACCGAAGTTACAGCAAAAAGTTTATGATCAAGGCACATTGCTAAAAACTAATCTACTTGACATCATGAAAATCCATCAGAGGTAAAACTTTATGAGACTTTCTCCTCACCTTTTTTTACCATTCTAAAAAAAAAATAAATTGTATTAATAGCCAATAAAGCATGAATTCATATATCAAGGTTTTTCTTTTTTGAGATAGAGTTTCACTCTTGTTGCCCAGGCTACAGTGCAATGGCATGATCTTGGCTCACCACAACCTCCACCTCCTAGGTTCAAGTGATTCTCCTTCTTCAGCCTCCCAAGTAGCTGGGATTACAGGCATGTATCACCACACCCAACTAATTTTGTTTTTTTAGTAGAGATGGGGTTTCTCCATGTTGGTCAGGCTGGTCTTGAACTCCCAACCTCAGGTGATCCACTGGCCTTGGCCTTCCAAAGTGCTGGGATTATAGGCGTGAGCCACTGAGCCAGGCCCATATATGTCAAACTTTTTAAAACTTACTGAAACTTGCTCATGAATAACCATGGTGTAAATTTAATTCTAGATCCTTAAACTAGGGTGCTAGAGTGGCTACTTTACCTTTTGCTAATTGAAAAATGTACAATCTCTGCTCACTGGATCATCTTCATTTTGGATAATTTTAATAAACTGAAAAACCACTAAAAATATTACTTGTTTCAGAATATCAAGTATAAAGTATCACCTTTAAGATGTGATGGTTAATTCCTCCTTATTTTCATGTTGCTTACAAACTTACAGTGTGAATCCAATTCCTATGTTATGCCAGTAATTCAACCTATTTTTCTGTAGTCACCTGTGAAAAGAAAATATGTTTGTTACAGCTCTCCTAACCAAAAAATATAAACTCACTTTTTCTGTCATTGGTGTTTTATTCAATTTTCCAGATTTATCTTATAAACAATTGATCGATTATGTGGGAAGTTCTTTTCACTTGCACTTCAATGGAGACACCAATGTCTCAGGGTGTTCAGGCTGAAAAAAGATGTTTGAGACATTGTACCAAATAGAAAGACTTGGAGATCACAGTTTAAACAGTTGAGCAATAAATTCAGGCTTCAATATGTATACAAATGTAATATTTCAGAAGATAATAAGGAAAAACTTAAAGCAATTCTTCTGTATAATTAAAAATACAAATAATACAAAAGTATGTATATACCTATATCTCCTATTTTAAAATGCAAATAGAAACATGTCTGGCTTCCTTTTTTTTAACTTAACATATTTTAGTGATGAGCCCATATTGCTTATGAAGGTACCGCTCTTTCCACTATGATTATGTAATTTCCAGCCATTAGCTATTATTACCAGACCCACAACGATCATTTTTGCATAGGAACAGGTTTTTAAATTGAAAAAAATTAGCTAAGATTCCAAGACAATTGATTTCAGATACCAGAAAGAGGTACCTGGCAAAAATCCAATTGGCAATATTTTCACTAATCTTGAACTCCTTGCTGACTTCTAAGTTGCAACAAAAAATAAAGGGGGAATGAACACTGAGAGGATTTTGTGAGAATGATTTTTAAAGGGCTATCCTAATCCAGAGGGGTAGGTGAGGAGATGAGGGATGCTATTGTTTCACCTCATTGCACATTCCAGGAAAGCTTTGTGTTTCCCCGCCTGGAAACCAGAGCTCAGGGAGGCTTTAACTGACTTAAAAATTGGATGCATCATTCACATCATCGGTATAGCAATTGAAAGCTTCTCAGGATCTTCCAAAGTGCAGGCATGCATACACACACCATTATCATCAGCAGCAGCAGCAATAAATATTTTCTGGTTCTCAAAAGGAGGGTCAAAGCTTCCAACTTCAGAGCCATCAATAGCAGCAGCTAGGTAGTTAGTTGGGTGATTGAAGAGGTGAGGTAGAAAAAGACGCATAATGCGCTTGTACCCCTCTTCCCCAAAGGCTGTAGAGCCATATGGTATGGGGAGGGGAGGATCAGTCTTGCCCGGGGAGATTGGTGTGCTGATGAAAAATTTACAAATAATACTCCATTTCGAAACTTAAAATAACCCAGGACTTTTTTTTTAAAAAAACCTAAAAGTGACCGGGAGATATATGGGACCAACTGGGGAAATTTCATTAGTGGTATTAGAAAAAATTTTCCCCAATGAATAAAATTTTTAAAAGGACAATGGTGGACAAAAATACAGTTGCACTTTGTTTTATCTCACCAATTGCTTTTAAGAAGTTTACATACCTATCTTTGCTCACATATAAAGAGAACACTCATTCTTAAACAAAGACAACATACTGTCTATGGATTTCCAGAGCAAAGTTAGAGTTAAGGAATTCAGAGTAGGAATAACTGAAACTGGAACAGTACTCTAGAGCTGCACTGTAAGCATTAGTCACAAGTGTCTTTTAAATTTTAAATTGATGAAAATTAACAATGCAATTTATCAGTGATCAACAGACACATTATGTGTGTTCAACAGCTATATGAATGTAGCTATTGTCTAGCTGATTGGACAGGGCAGATATAGAACATTTCCAAAATCAAAAAGTTTTCGGTCTTCATCATAGACAGTAAATCATTTAATTCTCATAAAACACAATGGAAAGAGAGTAATTATTATAATTTTATTACTACTTAATAGATGTAAAATTGAAGATTGGAGAGTTTTAGAAGCTTGATCAGCTTCTTTGGTTCTGGGTCCCATTTTCTTTCCTCTAAAACACATTGAATTGACTATCAAGGCAAGGATGAAATGTAAAAACCACTTTATGTTCGAAATATAAAGAGGCATATTCTGAAATCTAGAAATTTCTAAGAGAAGGAACCTAAGCCGGTCTCTATGCCATAGCTATTGATGGGAAACACAATCTTGTATCTGTTTCTAATACTTCCCATTTTACAATCAGTAAAATTTACTTACAGATTTTGATTTCACTGAAAGACTGTGAGCTAATGGAAGAAGTTTTAGATAGCGTTAGTGAATTACTAAATAACTGTACTTGTCTACGTTATCCTGTCACTTTTGTGTGATTGTTGACGGAACTACTCACTGACTTGGATGTGCAGAGATGGTTTTGAGACCAGACTTGTTTTCTACTGTCTTTTACAAGTGAAGATAAGTGAAATTCATAATAAAATATTTATTCACCCAAAACATCTAGGGATGTGTGGGGATAACAGGTTTATTGGGGAAAGGAAATACAGGGGTCAAATGAAAAAACATGAAGAATAATTACCAGTAAGTGAGGTTTGAAACTCATTTCCTCTACAGGAAGACATGGTCTAGTTGGTACAGAGGTTAAGGAGTTTAGCTTCACGTTTTGCATCCTTAGAGACAGAAGCTCAAAAAGGGAATCTAACGTGGTCTTAAGTGTGAAATGTCAAGCAGGTAATTTATAGTCCTTGGAGTGGAAAACAAGGGACAAGGTGGGCTCTGTCTACTTCTCTCCATTCTTACAATCACTTTCCTTGTTCTGGCCACTGCCTTCATTCTTTCTGGCCACTGCCCTCACAACTTTTGCTTTCCACCTTCCTAAAATGTAAATCACAAATGGGATCTTGTCGTTGACTGAATTTAAACCCCTCTGTGTCTTCCTTTAGGCTACAGTTTAAATTCCTCAGTCGGTCTTATAAGTATGTCATGACCAGCCTCTGCCTTTCTCTGCATCCTTCCTTCTTGCCCCTCCCCCAGGCTTGCCTCTGCTCCTACCCTGCGGCCATGCCTCAGCCTTCCTGAACAGCTTGCTGCTTCCTGAAGGACTCCTGCTCACTCTTGTTTTTACACCATTGTGGATCATTTTCCATTCACCTGAAGCACTTTGTCCTGCTTCTCCCTACAAATTTCATTGTGGAGCTGGCATTTGAACCCAGTTAGCTCAACCTCCAGAACCCATATCATAAATTCTGCATAATTAGTCCATGGAAAGACAGCCTGAGAGCCTTTCTTGGTCTCTTGTATTGCATGATCCTGCTCTTCTCTCTCTTTAGTAAAAACTTAAGACTGTGTCACATCGCTCTTTTGGGTGTGACCAGCTCTCATCAAGGACTGTCTTATATTTGATTCACCAATTCAGATGACCACTTCGCTCCCTTTAGAATACTTTTTTAAATTAAAAAAAAAAAAAAATAGAAATCCATCCCACCAAATAACACCTAGTCATCTTGGAATTTTTTAATAGGGAGACAAACACTTACTTGGTAAGCTTAGGTTGATACTTTGCTGAATGCAGGATGTTATTAAAAACATTCAGGAATGAGTATGGCATGGACACTTGACCTGTCAGAATGGTTACTGGCCATTCTCCCTACACACTGGCAGCTGAATAATATCGTCACATAAAATACTGTATTTATATAGATGTTTACATTTTGAGAAATATTTTATAACATGAATTTAGACAAGCCTTTCTCTCTGCACAGTCTCAGCATCACTCTTCTGTGGCTAAAAGATTTGTTAGGCATCTTCGGTGGATCTCTATTTTTTATTGTCTTCATTGTTTTGGCAATTCAAGTTACTATTATTATTTTTCATTGTATTCTGTCTCTGATTTGAAGGAATTGTTGTACATCAAGTCTCCTTGAGGTGTATGGGACTTATTCTTTAGAATGAATTAATTAGACAATATACAAGTACTTTTGGTTTAGAAATTGATAACCCTATAAAAATCTTGCATTGTTAAAAAGCAACAGAAGAGATGATAGACAAGGCTGAGATCTAAAAGGAGAGCTCCAGAATGGAGGCTTAAACCAGGGGCAGACTTCAGGAGCTTATCAAGACACAATTGAATAAACAAAGGGTGGAGCCTGGACAAAATATTTACTTGTCTGAATAAGCCTTAAATGTTTACGTTGGCCAGTTGATCTCCTTTCATCCTCTCTTTCCCACTAGGAAACCAGTATCCATTAAACTCTAGTTTTTGGCAGTCCTGTTCTGTTTATTGTTTACATCCTGAACTAGCATGATATGCTTGGCTCTTTATCCCTCTAGGATCTCCCTTGTTGTCTTTGCACCTGATGCCTAATTTTGGTTCAGAAAAGCCCCTGGGGTTTTACTTAGGGACTAGTTTAATTAGTGCCTGGTTTTCCCGGTTCCATGAAAGGGGATAAGGCAGTGCTTTGATCAGTGTCTCTTTGGCAATGGTTTGCTTCTCTTTCCACTACTCTCCTCCATACCCACATATCACATGCCCTCAGGGATTTCCAGATGCCACGGTCTTCTTGAGGTTTCCTATTAATACTCAAGCATCAGACCCTCTTATTTTACACCTAAATTAGTCACTTGGTTAACTGGAGGCCTTCTGCCCCGAGGCCTTTGCTGTTTAAGGGTTTCGCCACTAGAGGGTGGTATTTTCCTCTTAGGATTGTTGAAATTGTATGTTGAAATGGTTTTTATTACATAAGATACTTCTATAAATGAAATAGCCTGTTTTTAGTGGACAAAATAAGCCTATATAATATAAAAAATAAAAATAAAACAAACAGTAAATGGTAGATTTGAAAATATTTCTCCTAAATGTTTCACCTGAAATTGAGTTTATAAATCATGACTTTGAAATCTGAAGCTCAAATGTGGCTTCTTAAAATTTCCATGATCTATCCAAAGTTTGTCTGAAATCTTTGGTCATCGTGCAAGTACATGTTACTTAGTTTTTGTCTGGAGGTGTTTGCAAAATAAGTCATACTCTCAGGTTAATTCAGTCCAAGTTTATTGAGAGTAGGCATACGAGAACATGTTCAGGCTTTACTAAATGGACAAGAGATCTTCATATTCATAATGTTAAAAACTAAAGTCAGGCTAAAATGTAAAAATGCTCGAGAAAGAAAAACA